AGTGTAAATTCTCCGAGGTACCCACAAGTCTGCAGCGCCCAGCTAGTCGGCCTCTTCGAACGCTTCAGAAGGATCACCATGTCTTCGTATGTAGTCCTAATATCGGTATTAGGAGAGCTCCGCAGCCAGTGGTTTTTATGCGATTTTTCCCGGCTGCCACACACCCGCAAATGGCCATCGTTTCGTTGGCTGTAGAGGGGAGATAATGAAGGGTAAAGGGCTCCTCTATGTGTATGACCGAATGAGGACTTGTGAGGGGCGGTACTGTTTGAGGGGAGCTGCGTGGGAGGCATAGGAGGGGATATACTACTGGTATAGGTATCCTTTGCTTGTAGGCAGAGAGGACCTGCATGTTACGGGTTTTACCCGGTGTTTGTTGGCTGGGCTGACTTACTGGCCCAGCCTTGCATGTAAGTGGGATGTGGCAAATAGGCCTGTCTATTGCAACAGGTTAGACGCTTAGTAAGTGCTTATGTAAGGTGGTCATCAGCACACACCTTACATTGGCTCTGTCCCACTGAAGTGTTCTTCACATAGAAAATATAGATTATTTTGTGACAGCCTTTGCGTGCAGCGTCCGTGATTCTCGTCCCTTTACACTGCATCTCATACACAGTCATAGACTCAGACAGGACAATAAAATGAATTAATAATTAACACCCCTTGTTTGTAGCACTTTTGATGAATTGAACCAAGTGTGTTTATTGTACTACTTGTTGAGAAATAAGTCTAATGCATTGCAATTCCAGGATCCTCATGACCCTTATTATGGGTCTGAGTTGTCATTATTAGCCAGGAGTTAGGAGAACCGGAGGGGGACTATTCTCAACACCTGTCAGTGGTGTCCCCTACGAACCTCCAGCTCTCACTGTAGAGTCTGCAGAGCCGAGATTGAGTAACATATTTATGCTCACTTCGATGAGGATTCCCAATCGCTTTCGTGATCTATATCGTCTTCATCCCTCAACGCATCCGCATATCACCATTATCATAAAGCTAACCACGATAAGATCAGATAGTAAGGTTGGAGCCCTACTCATCACCAACCCTTGATCATGGAGGAGAAGCCATCCGATGAGTTTCCGGAGCGTACCCAGCACCCGATACGGCGATGGTGGATGGGATCAAGTTGGCCTCGAATATTACAAAGAAGGGAAATACAGATGAATATGCGCACCTCATGTGGCTTCGGTGTCTAGGCCTCGCCTGGCTGGAGCTGCAGGTTTTTTTGAGACTTTCTTCCGACCACGCAGTTTCCATTGCTACCATTTTTATTTTTTTTGGGTAGAAGGTTCCGTGGAAAAGGTGGCTGAATTCCACGGGTAAATACTGAGCTGAATGGCTATTCATCAAGGGGAATATATCAATGATCTTTCAAGTAACAAAAGAGGATAGGAGCACTGTACAAGGTGTGGCCTGGGTCAGAGAGGAGCCCAATGTGCTAGATAGTCATAGACTCAAGTAGTATTAAAAACTTAATCCTTGTATTGTGTAATGATCACTTTAAGGAGTTCTAATATAAAACATGGAAGGTAGACTTGTCTATGAAATCAACTCGTTGGAGGTATAAAATAAGTATCCATAAAAACGGATCCAACACTCGAGATTTACATCTTGAGTGCGGGTCCGTGCACGCTAACAAAACAACCTAATAACCACGTGATAAACAAGCTAATTGTACAGGGTATCTTGCTCTCCGGTTCTCCTAATGTGTGTGATGTGTGTGTGTTTTATTGTACTACTTGAGTCTATGACTATCTAGCACATTGGGCTCCTCTCTGACCCAGGCCACACCTTGTACAGTGCTCCTATCCTCTTTTGTTACTTGAAAGATCATTGATATATTCCCCTTGATGAATAGCCATTCAGCTCAGTATTTACCTGTGGAATTCGGCCACCTTTTCCATGGAACCTTCTACCCAAAAAAATACATAAAAATGGTAGCAATGGAAACTGCGTGGTCGGAAGAAAGTCTCAAAAAAACCTGCAGCTCCAGCCAGGCGAGGCCTAGACATCGAAGCCACATGAGGTGCGCATGTTCATCTGTATTTGCCTTCTTTGTAACATTCGAGGCCAACTTAATCTCATCCACCATCGCTGTATCGGGTGCTGGGTACGCTCCGGAAACTCATCGGATGGCTTCTCCTCCATGATCAAGGGTTGGTGATGAGTAGGGCTCCAACCTTACTATCTGATCTTATCGTGGTTAGCTTCATGATAATGGTGATAGGGGAATGTGTTGAGAGATGAAGACGATACAGACCGCGAAAGCGATTGGGAATCCTCTTCGAAGTGAGGACATTGTTACTCAATCTCGGCTCTGCAGACTCTACAGTGAGAGCTGGAGGTTCGTAGGGGACATCACTGACAGGTCTTGAGAATAGTCCCCCGCATTGAACCAAGTGAAGCCCGCTGTAACAACAACATTCGTTTCCTACAGTGGTAGCATTAAAAGGCAGGAGCTTAATGGAAAACTAGTTCTCTGTCCATTAAGCCAGAGTATGAGCCTCAATATGTATTAGAAAGAAGTTGATTATCAAAATTATAGTCTGTAAATAGCAGCCAGATTTTAGTTGACAGTTCCTCGTATGCCTCCATAGTCTTTGACTCAAGGGGACAACAACAAACTTATCATCTGAAATTATTCACCCAGCAGAGAAATCAGACTCGACACTTGTAAAAGCGCGTGCCTTGGGGATATATTTCAAGAACAGCCAGGCTGCATTTAATGCGCGACATGAACAGCATGTCTAAATCAAGCGTAAGGGTCTAGATTTTTTCTTTTTTTTTGGTTCATTAACGTGCTAGGTTAGGTGATTCTCATTGCGCTCCTACTGGAGCTTAAGCACGGATGGGGCCAGACTGGATCAGGTTAACTACCGTAAAGTACAGGTGCCTCGTCCCACCTAAATAACCAGACCACCTCAGACTTCACCCATGTGTGGAATCATGTCAAGCCCAACTGTCCAGAGAACCCTCTTTTGGCGCGCCGAAGCGTGAATTCCTCCTCAGCTTCGGCCACCACGCGCCGGAGCCCTTGACATCCTCATTGACTCCGAAATATAAATGCCGTCCAAGATCTCATCGTTGCTCTAGCCTTGCACCTTCATATCGTAACATTGGGTTGTTGTCGTTATCGGAGATTTGTGCGATCTCTTCAGTGTATCTTCCCTTTTCTTCCTCCTTTGTACACGTCCCGTTTCCATCATGAATTTCCTCATTATGGCCTGCGTAGGTAGGCGATGTGACGAGTATGGAGGTGTGTCACAGTTGTAGAATCGACTGAGAAATACTTCGTCGCAAATATATATATGGAATTTGAGAGATGTCGGATGTTTGAATAAGACTTCCATATAAACCTAGGCGCATTCGTGAATCGTATGTTAGTGATGATGAGTTTTTGTTCAACTTTGTTCCGGCTGTCAAATCTCTGCCGACTGATTTTTCGACCAAATTATCGAGTGCAACTCCTTCAAATGAAAATTGTCGGTAAAAGGATTATACTTGGGCGTTATTAATTGTTCTATGTAATTGCGGTGAAGGATGTCGTTAGGACTTTGGCAGGGATCTGATTTAGCTCATTAGCGAGGCGCTTGGAGTAGAGGAAGAAAGGGCAGAGGGAGAGGAAAAGGAGAGAGAACGTTTTATGTATTTCGAGATACCAGTTAATTGACATTATTCACCGACTTCGTGACGGCACCCAATTTGTATTTCTTCGTGCTTTACCAACAGAAATCCATCAAAAAATTCATCCCACCCTTTTTCGTGACTGAATCTCGTGTCTGGGAGAAAATTTCACTCCCAGGTTCGGAGAGGGCACCACTGACAGGTGTTCAGCCTTCGTCCTCCAGCATCTAGAAGATGCCAAGCCCTGTGTAAATTATCTCCGTGTTCAGTCGTCTCGTAGACTTTTTGATTTCGCCAAGTAACTTCTCTTCACCACAATGCACCGTAGCCTCTGATTTGAGATTGAATTAGTATTCTAATCAGTCTGATGCTGAAGAGCATTACTACGCAGCTGGGGCGAGCGCCAAATCGTTATGGCCTGAGGCAGAGATACGAAAGGAGATATTAGGCCATCCAATACCAGTCACAGAGATTAATGAGACAAGATAATCTCCAAGACTAGCTTCCGCAGAGTAGTCATCCTGTGCGTAATGAAAGTATCCTTGCATAAACAATGAATATAGGCTTTCTGGGATGGTTAGGATTTAAATGTTGGAAGCGCCCACATATTATTTCCTAGATTAACTATCTGATGAGATTGACAATTTAACTCGGATACCCTCACGCTATGGATGGCTCAAAGAGGAGCCAGAAATTTCGTTTATGGATTGTTCTGATTATAAGAAATAGAAGAAATGGTGAGACAGACTTTCAGCTTCGCAATCTACTCAAATTTCTTGATCCCTATTGTGAACATCGATTGTCACTTGTATACTTACAAGGCAGCAGATGATACTTATTTCAGTTCGTGACGTCACATGTATTATGGTCTTGAACCGTCCAAAGGAAAAGATCAAATGACGGAGCTCAAATACCCCACACGTAGCACCAGCCAACTCTTCTGGATTCAGTTTGCTCAAGCATAAAGCTACTTTGCTTCTTGTGGTGAAATATTCCCTGCCATTCCCGAGATTGATGAATGTTGCTCTAACTCACAATGTCAACCTCGCGTGGATCTATCCCCTTTTATCATTGTGAAATGGCTTTTTTTTGCATCTGCGACATGGCTTGTTCATGCTACAACTTAAACTGCAAAGTTTTTCTCTTGATCTTGCACTTCAGGCATAGATAGATTGGGAACAGAAATGAATCCTAGTAAATGCAATCATCTCATCGGAGCGAATAACATCATAATCCTAGAAAATAAGATTAGAATTTTGGGTGCAAAAAGATATTAAGTATGTTATGAGTAACTCTATCTTTAATTCGTACTTCATACACGCCTACTTCACAATCTGGACACCGAGGCCTCTATATGGTAGACCACAGCTCAACTAATCCGCTACTTCTCCAGTTGTGCGACCCCACACTTCGTCAGGCCCCGATTTTCCATTTGTCTCGGGTATGTAATACGTGACAAATACCCAACTAACGCCTGCTAATGCCGTGAAAATAAAATACACCCATCCGGCCCCACCCCAACGGTTATTCATCCATGAATTTAGTAAGGGAAAAAATTGTGCTACCAAAAAACTTGCCAGGTAATTTGCCGCTAGGGCCCAACTCTGTGCTGCTCCAACTGCTTCTTGTCCAACTAATTCCGATGCCATAATGTAAGGGACTGGTCCTAACCCAGTCGCAAAAAAGGCAACAAACGAAATCACAGCTATGGCAGAAAATAGCTTCCACTCCATTCGGAGAGATATTGCCAATAATAAGGACATTGTCCCCATTCCGGCAATCGACAATAAAAGGCAACTCTTGCGACCTATTCGATCAGCAAGCGGGGCGCAGACAATCGTGGTGATGACATTCATGGCTGACATGACAATGGTTAGTAGTATTGATGATATAGGAAGAACACCGCGTAGTAGAGACACTGAGTACATCATGATACTATTAATGCCACTCAACTGCTGTGCGATCATAATTCCACAGACTGCCATGATGGCAGGACGGTATAATGGATTTTGTATCACGCCAAAAAAGCCAACTGATGGCAGCTTTAGGTTGGATGTGGCTAAGTTCTGCTGGTCATATTGAGATGTAGAGCTCAAGTCGGTTGGGCGTATAAGGCGCTCCTCTTCTGCGTTAATCTCTTGCACGTTCCAGCCCGCCGTTTCTTTGTGAATAGGGGTACCAGCGCCTCGAATGCGCTGCAGCGTTTTTACAGCAAGCGTAGGATTATGGTGTGATGCTAGCCATGAGGGACTTTCTGGAATAAAACAAAGCCCAGCCCCAAGCAAGAGGCCAAAGCCAGCCCCGACTCCAAGTATGATTCTCCAGAGCATACCCCTACTGAAGAAGTATCCTAGACTTTGAGTGACGAAAATTCCCACGCTGATCATAGCTTGAGTCATGGTTCCGAATAAACCTCTCTTTTCGACTGGTGAGATTTCCGAAATATACATTGGTGCTACGACTGTGGCCGCGCCAGCCCCTAGCCCCGCTAGAAAACGTCCAGTTGACATGACAGGGACTGACTCTGCGATAGTTTCTATCAAGGAGCCTAAAATAAAGAAAATCCCAGTGATTCGCATTGTCAGTAGTCTTCCATGGCTACTCGAAATTGGCCCGGCTGTTATTGCGCCTACCAAACCCCCTAGTATGTAAATTGATGATAAAGCTGCAAATTCCGCTTCAGTCATGGGGATGCATTGCGAAGGGTTCGAGAGAGATTTCGAAGAGACATTTCGTCTTTCTAATAAGCTATGGCAGGTTATAACGTCTTGAGGGGCATTGAGCTCAGCCTAGTTCAAGTTAGTTTATGAAATACTTGACCATAAAGTAGAGATACCAAGTGATATCCGTATTGAAGAGGACCTAGCGTGGCTACGGCAACCAAGAGTATTAGATATCCTGTGACATCACTGTGTCGCTGACTTGAGCCCGACATTCTTAGCAGAAAATATGGATAAAATGTTCCTTGAATGCGGCGCCCAGTAAATTTAAGGCGGTAGTTTCTGTTAGAACTGCTCCTTCCTGTAGTTTGTGGGTATGCGAGTAAAGATAGATTTTCTCTGCCGTAACATTGAGGATTGAGGATTGGCCAATGAGGGGAAACTCCGTTGAACACTTGACCTCGCGCTCGAACTACAACGCATGACTTTACATTCTACGCATACGAGGCTAATCGGAATTGGTAAGTTTGATTGTTGTCAACTAAAGAATATGAGTTCCGGCTTGGGAAGGTAATTATCGCAAGGGCGAAAATCTTCCCAGAGATACAGGGCTGGGTGTCCATTTCATTACAGCTTTTAGGCCATTGCACATAATTCCTTGGGTCTGATCTCGAAACACTTTCCGATGGATTGCCGGTAGCGAAAGCATTGTGCATTTGAGTTCCATGGGAAGCGGACGTAGCTGATGGCTTTGGAATGATTGCAATGATCTTTGTGAAAACGCCAAGCCCATTATAAACAAGGCAGAAAGCACTGATACCAACCTCCTCATGCGGCACTGTAAGTACTAATTATTTTAGTTCAACTTGCTATCAGTATACTTCTTACAGGAAGTTTGCATTTATAATTGAATTTCTAGTCGGCAGGGCTATCGCTGCATCTAGGCAGGAATTATCGATCGTATAGTCCAACTCTGGCAGATCAACACCGCCCCTCTGCATTGCAGACCTCATCGTCACCTTGGCCTAAATAACCAATTATCTGATACAATAAATCGCATTGATCTACAAAAGTTACCGATCGTTGGACAGTCAAATAAGATCTCTATAGGCCGTGAAAGAAGAAAGGTAGGTTTAGTCAAGAGATCCGAGCAATGTCATGCATTCGTTGGAGTCAGCCTTCGTATTTCACAGGCTGGTTTCCAACCACAAACACTCACCAGCCCACACAGACCGAGATCTCTCACATAACTCTGCCAGGTTCAATTAGAAAATAATTTCAAAATAATCTACACAAAACTTGATTCATTTTCGACAAATTTTCTCCACTTTTATTTTTGAAATATATTCAGCTATCTAACTATGACATGTAATAGGTGTTTTGTGTACAGGTAGGTTAATTTTTCGGTTTCAGGCACATTTTTACTCTGGATTTCATTTGCAAATACCACTACGAGGTATTCTTGCTTACGCTAAGCAGTCAACCTTCCTTCGTAAGTACCCACTAAAGGGAAGTTCAATTCCTTTGATTATCCAAGCACACCAGCGGCGAGAGAAATGTGGCCGAGCTTTGCTGGGCTCAAGACAACTGTCCCCTTTTTCAAGTGGTATATCGTTACGGGCTGCTGCATCATTTATCTGGAACCGGAGTTTATCCCGCTCCCAACAGTCGTCATTCCTTATTTAGTTAAGATCATGTAATCGATCATGTAAAGTCTAAGAGGCGACGCGACGAGTAGTCTTCATACTCTGGTAAATCTCGTGTTATCTGTAATATACACATGTACACGTACGCAATGGGTCTCTCGATGATGTGATGATTCTTGTTATTCTTCCAAAATATAGGCGTGTCAGCCTTAGGGGCGACACGCCAAGCTGCACCAAGCCACATGACTAACTATCAACATATTGTGATCTCCCTGTTGGCTTAAGTACATCCCAAAAAAGTGTTGCGACACAAGTAGATAATTTTCCTTCTTGATAGAAAATAAATATCATTTTCGACATGTGTTTGCGAGAAGATGACACACCGTCCCATAACAGGTAGGATTCCAAACTATGCAGAATCTGCTTAAGAGACCGGCCCAGATGGTGTACTATTGCAATATCCAATTATCGTGGCGTTTATAGTGTTAGCTGCACTCTCGTGATCAAAGTCTAGGCACGCACAAAGTCCAATTTTTAAAACTCCCAAATAAAATTCCGAATTTCATACTCGTCGAGGTTGTATCCACAGTTTGCAGCATCTTGTGATCTTGTCTTGATTTCTCTCCTGTGCATTCCAAAGAACTGTCTCCCACATTTGTGGGCCATGATTTGTTTCCTCCGTCGGGTTCAAAAAACGGCGTGGGAGTGTATTTGGTTGCCAGCTGAGGCTGGAGAATAGTCGGTGAGAGGTGTAGTCATTGATATGAAGATTTCTAGGTCGTACTTGTAAATATGAATAGGCTTTGGAGTATTTTGAATCATTGCCTCGTGGGCCAACTTCTTTGGTATTGCGAAATTTAACTTAACTTGACTCTCGGAGGGCACCACTAGCAGGTATTCAATCTTTATCCTCTGAAGAAAATCATGTACGTGTATGATGGCTTAGTCTTCCAGGGTAGAGTATTTTATACTTAATTTTCCTACACAACACCTTCAGTTACCACCAGTCTTCACTTGAATCCCAAGTACCTTTGGATGTTACCATTTCCCTTGTGTCAAACCTTGAGTTCTTCTCAGGGATCTCAAGCACGTACTCATTCATTGATTGCCGTCCATTCAACTCCCCTATTAATGTTGGAAATCGAGACACAGAGTTTGGTGGACGTACAAGCCCTCCGTTTCGTCTAGGTTCCCTAACACGATTTTATTTGTGGAAAAGAGGTCGGAATGAGTTATATGGTAGTGCATCAGGCTACCAATTGGATACATGAGCTGTTGTATGGCGTGGGTACAAACAGGTTATTGGGGGGCTTTTCTATGCTTCGATTGAGCCACAATTGCTTATGCTGTGGCTAAGGTTCTGTGACACCTACACTTGTACGTGGAGCGCACACTTCCCACTCAATTAGTTGTAAGACGAACATGACACTCTTTTAATCAAATTCTTCTTTCGTTCCAGGAACATTGCGCCCATTTCACTGTGCGATAAGTCAAATACTATTTTCGCACCTGCTATCGTTCTACTTGGTGTTATTAAATGCGGATATGGGTTTCTGATTAATATGCAGTACTTCTGATAGTCTGATGTGTTTACCTCTTTGTTTGAGGAAGACGTTATTCAAATTGATGCTTGTGGGAAGTGAGCACTATCTTTACAAAAAATGTGTAAAATTTTAATCCTTTACTAACCAGGTTGATATTTACACAAACACTTACAGTATCCTATTATCTGTTATAAGCAAGAGTTCTTTTCCTTCACTTAGTTGTAATAGTTAGATTACACAAAGTGGAGGACAAGAACTGAACACCTGTGCGCGGTGTCCTCTTCGAATCTGGTAGTGAAATATTATTCTAGAGCCAAGTTCTCGAGGAGTGTCTACGCCGTTTGTCCGCATAGACAAGTGTGAGTAGATGGGAGTCAACATCTTCCACAAGAGGAGATAGAGGGCACTTCATGATCTGATACGAGAACGGGCTCAGAGTGGTCTTTACAAAGACTAGATGTAATATCTAGAATGAGACTAATATTGAGAAAACGTTGCCTTAAGTAGGCAAGTCGACAGTAGGCTACGCCTCACTATGTACATGTTTGTAGTCCACTACTGCGTTACTTTTCCCTACTCAGGCCTGCAAAATGTGTATGCTGATAGTAATCCATGAATCTAACTTTTATGATTATTCCATGAAACATGTTCAGTCAAATTTCGCAATATCAAAGAATTTGGCCCACGAGGCAATGACTCAAGATACACCGCCATGTCAATCTTTCACGCCCAACAAGGCCGATTCCTACCTAAGCCACTTCTTATCTATAAGTACGACCTATTACATCCTCATTCCAATCACCACACCTTCAACTACTCTCTGGCCTTAACTGGCCACTAAATATACGCTTACGACGATAAAAATACCCGCAGGACAAAATTTGGCGCACAGAGTTAGGAGTTAGCCCTTTGGGATGAGCTTGAGAGAAATCAGGGCAAGTTTACAAGATGATGCAAAGGAAGAGCACAATCTCAACAGGTGTGAGATTTGTTGGAAATGGAGGTATAGAGTGTTGTGGACGTACGGGCCCTCCGTTTCGTCTAGGTTCCCGACACGATCTCGTGTGTATTGAAGAGGTTGAAATAGGTAATATGGTAGCACTTCAGACTACCCATTGGAGATGTGAGCGGCTGTATGGCGTGGACGCAAGGAGGTTATTGGGGGTTTTTTCTATGCCTAGATGGCGCCACACTCGTTTATGCTGTGGCTTAGGCTCTGAGTCGCTTACACTTGTACTTGTAGCGCACACCTCCCACACTCTTAGATGCAATCCGAACATGACACTCTTTTAGTCAACTTCTACTTTCGTTCCATGAATATTGCGCCCATTACAATGCGCAATATTTCCAACATAGATCCATGCAGGTGACTATCTGCATTATTTACAAAGGAGGAAACCAATTTGGTGAAAAGCCCCTGATCCTGTCTTTTTATGTTCCCATCAATTTATTTGGTTGACCTTCAGGAAGTGCAATGTACACTGTTCAGCCCGTGTGGATTCCGTCCTCTCCCCTTCCAGATCTATTTACTTTATCCGACATTGCTACCTCGACTTCCCCTGCAAGTCGAAACTGTTTTATACACCCTTTGTTTAGTATCCACTGTGTAATTCTAGCCATATCTTCTGAGCTGTTCATCATTGCTTCAAACGACCTGTCTTCAGCTTGTCGGAGACAGTCGCCTCTTCCATTTGCCCACTGCGGACACGCCAACACCATATGCATGACGTTGGGGTACGTGTGTAGATGGTTGATTTCGTTGAGTTGTGTAGTCGTGAAATCTCTGCATGTCGGATTTTCGATCAGAAATGAGCCAACACCACTCCTCCTGATCGCCAACTCGACGAAAACTCTCAAATTCACCCTTTGTCGTGACTGAATCTTGGCTCTGGGAGAATATTTCACTCCCATGTTCGTAGAGGGCACCACTGACAAATGTTCTGCCCTCGTCCTCCGCCCACATATTGATACGGTGTGCCAAGGGGTTTGTCAGGAGCTAGCTTAGTAAATTAGCCGAACCATGTACATAGATTATAGAGTCCACAAATCAGACTACATAGATATGACCCAAGTCTGCACACATTA